CCATAAAGCCCCTGTATTAGAGACCATCTTCGTACCGCTACGCCATATGAATCTACGCCAAGCAATCATATCGTTTTTGTCATCGTCGTCATCATCACCATCTTCATCATCCGCATCAACACCACCACCCCTAAACCCTAAACCCTAAACCCCTAAACCGTGGAGCTACAGGTCTCCCTGAACCGAAGCCCTATAATATAGGGGCCTAAATAACTACCTATACTACTTTGGGGTTTCCTTATTATAACTACTGCACAAAGCCCTATTCCAGTTAGCAAGGCTCCTACATTAACGCAACGATCGCGCTTTGCTAAGATAACGCAAGCCACATGAGACTACCAGATGAGACGGCAGCCCATGCGTTTCCAACATGCAACACTCTGCACATCTCTACACCCTAAACCCTGAACCCTAAACTCTAAACCCTAAACCCTGAGCCCTAAACTCTAAACTTTTCCTCCTGAGTCCATTCAGAACATTACAGACTAAGGCTCCTAACCAGAGCCTGGATCCTCAACCGTCCGGGCCGCATCGATAGACCTGTTTAGGAGTACTACAAGGGTTACTCAAGGGTTTGGGGCTTAGGCGGACAAACTGCAAAAGCTCAGGTTAAGGGTTTAGGGTTCGGGTTAACCTTAAACCCTAAACCCTAGACCCCAATACCAAAATCCTAAACCCAAGTCCTTAATCCCTAAACCCAAACCCTTAACCCTAAAACCCTGAACCCTAAATCCCAAAGCCCTAAGAACCCCTAGGCCCTTCGTATTACAAAACCCCATGCACAGCAAGCACAGTCCTGAAATCCCCGACGCGTCCGAGGCCAAGAAGCAAAGGACCGGATGTCGGGTCTGAAACTGCGGCATGTTCCACCGAAAGTATCGGTTTAGGTTTTATAGGGTTTAGGGTTTAGTATCTATCGGGGCCTGAATAATTAACAATACCATTTTGGGGTTTCCTTGTCATAGTTATCGTATACTATACCCCAAAACCCTATTCTAATCATTGAGGCCCCCAAGTTATCTATACTGCAGATGGGTTCTGTAAGGCTTGGAGGGCCATTACAAGTGTTTCACAGGGTTTTAGAGGGTTCTAAAAGGTGTTATGGTGGTTCTCCCAAAGGCTCCATGTACCCTTAAAGTAGATACTTAGGCCTTAAAGGGGTCCCCATATAGGCTTAAAGGCCTACCCTAAACCCTAAACCCTAAACCCTAAACCCTAAACCCTAAACCCTAAACCTACTATAAAGGTACCATGGAGCCTTTGGCTCTACACGGTCGAGGCTTCATGGGGCCTTTTGGTCCAGGCCTTTGCAAGGTCCTAGGTCGCTCCCCGGCCAATAGGGGTTTAGGGGTTTAGGGGTTCAGGGTTTAGGGCTCAGGGTTGAGGGTTTAGGGTTCAG